TAATTTATATTGTTTTTACACGTGAAGAATTATTGCAAATTGATGCAGCAAAAATCAAATTTAATGATAGTTAGATTTCTCGTTGCCACGCTCCTTTTCTTTATTTTCCTTTTGGTCCAAAAAACAATTTTTAAAAAAGACTCCCCAACAAACAAAACACCCCTCTTCCCTATCTATATATATCTCTCTGTATATATATATGTCCGAGGTTAAAAGAACACGCTCCTAACACACACAAAAAAGAAGAGAAAAAATAGAATAAATGTATAAAACAACAGAAGAACGAACAAAAGAAAAGAGAGAAGAACAGCTGATATCTTCTATCCTAACACCTCCTTCCCCACGATAGATGAGCGCCCTATCTGCTCATCGACCAAAAAAAATGAAAAACTAATGAAACAACGAAGAAAGAAAAAAAAATATGAAGAATAAAATATCAAACAAAATAGAAATAGACTAAACGGTTAACGAGTATAATGACAAATGTTAAAAAAAATGAAGTAATGCGGTCGATACCTTTTTTGGAGTAGTAGATATATAAAGAGAAATGTTAAAAGAAGATTTATCCGGAAAATGCAACATGTCTTTAGATATGCATTGTTTTGTTTATCGAATAAGTTAAATAAAATATTTGTTTTACATGAATCGTCATATCTAAATGTTCGATATATATAGATCAATAAACTGTCACCTGTATGTATAGATCAATAAACTGCCACCTGTATATATAGATCAACAAATTTTGTATTATCATGCTTCTGGCAATAGGCGATCAAATCAGTGTAGATGTTGTTGATAACGCAAAATTTACTATAAAAATCACATAATCGTTTCTGGACAGTGTTAAAATAAAAAAATGAGTAAAATGCTGTTAGAACGAAATATTCAATATATGGTCTATTATATATAATCGAAATGTGGCGAGTAAATATAATTTCACGATTATTGTACTGAATATTATAAAATATAATGTCACTAGTATTGTATTCAATATTATAATTGACATTTGATTGATAATGTGTTGTATTGAGCAGTTTTAAATTCGTTCGTAAAATGGAATAAAATTATTGACATGTTCTTCTTTTTGATAATGGTCTTGTGCGTGTTCAACAATATACTTGACGTCAGTAATTCTCTTTATAATGCGGAATGGACCATGATATCGAGGATCCAATTTCGAGCGACCCGATAATACTTTAATCCATACCATGTCATCTAATGTGTATGTTGGATGGGTTCGTCCTTTGTCGTATCGTAGCTTACTCAATTGTTGCTGTTGTTCAATGTTGACTTGAGCCGCATGAATGGCAACTTGCTTGAATTTGTTTGCTTTTTCCCAATAATCGTTTGGTTTTAACATCGTAATTTTTGATGATGGAAATTCAAACGGCGATATTAATCGACGATTGAATGCTAATTCATATGGGATGAAACCAGTTATAGAATGAATACTCGAATTATATGCCCAAACAATAGATTGCAAATAAATATCCCAATCATTGATGTTATCATGATAATATTTCTTGAGTTGATCACAAAAGGTTGAATTAAATCTTTCCACTTGGCCATTCGACATAGGATGGTATGGAATCGAAAATATTTGTTTACAGCCAGTTAATTGTGTTATTGCCGACAATAGTTCATTTCTGAAATGAGAACCTTGATCGGATTGTATACATCGAATTGCACCATGCTTCAATATAATACCTTCAAATAGCATCTCAGCAGCAGCTTTGGCATTTTCTGATGATAATGCCCGGGCAAAAACATATTTAGATAATCTATCAGTAATGATTAATACATATTGATTCCCATCAGACGATTGAATGGGTGCCTTCCAAAAATCCATCTGCATTAATTCAAACACACCCTCGGGTGGTGGCTCTTTTTGTAATAATCCAGGCTTCTTTCGTCGTTGTACATTGAATTGAGCACATTGTGTACAAGAACGAATATATTGTTTGACCGAATTCAACATTTGAAACCAATAAAATTTGTCCTTTATCTTATGATACGTACGATTGACACCAAGATGCCCACTAAGTGGATGATCGTGATATGCGGATAGAATGTCCGGAATCATTGATATGGGTATCCATGGTAATTTAATTTTCGTGTGACCATTTCTTGTAACTAATTTATATAAAAGTTGTTGATCGACAACATCGTTCAAATATTTTCGAGAATCATCGTTGATCTTTTGTATTCTTGTCTGAATATCAATGTCATTCATTTGGTCATTTCGAATTCGATCGATACTAAAATCAATTAATGACGGTGAAGGCAAGATTGTTGTTGTTGTTGATGAAACTGGAATAGGTGTTGTTTCGGAAATAGGTAAGATATTGACCTTTTTCGTTTTTGATCTTGTCATAATGTTCGATGATGAAGATTTAAACGAAGATAGTACGGGCAATTTCGCTGATAATTGTTTGGCTCTTGTTCTTGTAATGACATTGATTTGCATAGCAGCTATGTGATTAGCAGATGGTTGTGTATAATTTCGAACACACCTTGGGTGTTCGGCATCGTCAATATCGGCTTCATCATATGGAAAACGTGATATTAAATCTGCATCGCAATTACATCTTCCACGTTTATAAGTGATTGTTGTAATATCGTATTCGGATAATTGTAATTGCCAACGTTCGATTCTCGAGTTTTGAAATTTCTTTTTATTGAAACTACATAATGGGCAGTGATCAGTTTCTATCTGTATTGGTCGCCCCCAAATATATTCTTTCAACTTACAAATGCACCAGACTAATGCTAAACATTCTCTTTCCGTCGTAGAATATTTCTTCTGTGCTATATTAAATTTCTTTGAGACATATTTTATCACTTTGGATCCCTCCGGTGTAATTTGTCGTAAAACACCGCCCATACCGTAACCCGAAGCATCTGTTGATAATACAAGTGGTGAAATATCATCGGGAAAATTGAGAAATACTGGTGGTGTTGTGAGTCGACGTTTAAGATCATTAAATGCATTTTCCATTTGTGGTGTCCAACCTTTCCAAATGGCGTTCTTCTTTGTGTAAGGATATAGTGGTGCAGCAATCTTTGAAAAATTTTCAATATGATCACGATAATAATTGGCAGCTTGTACGAATGAATGGACTTGCTTGGGTGTTGTTGGTGTTGGTAATTTAATAATTGCATCAACATTGTCTTGAAGTGGTCGAATACCTTGTTGATTGATTGTGTGACCAAGATAATTGATTTCATATTGAATAAGCGAGCACTTTTGTGGATTAAGTTGCAGGTTTGCATTGTATAAAACCGAGAATACTTCATTCAAATGAGTAACGTGTTGATCGAATGTTCGAGAAAATATGATAACGTCGTCGATATATACTAAACAAAAATCCCATCTGGTATTTACCAATAATTCATACATTATACGCTGAAAGCTAGATGGTGCATTTTTTAATCCTTGGGGCATTACATTAAACTGAAACATACCATTGTATGTAACAAAGGTTGTCTTCTCTTTATCTGATGAATGAATCGGAATTTGATGGTATCCTGTTTTTAAATCAAGTTTCGAGAAATAATTATTACCATTCAATCTGTTCAATGTTTCTTCAATTCGTGGCAATGGATAACTATCTCGTTCGGTGATATTGTTTAGTTGACGATAATCAATAACAAATCTATAGGTTCCGTCTTTTTTTTTTACTAAGATTACGGGTGACGACCAACTAGAATATGATTTTTGAATTTGTCCAGATTTTAACATATCATTGATAATTGTCGAAATATGTTGTTGTTTGATTGGATCGGTACGATAAACACGTGAATGGATTGGAAGATTTAAACCAGTGTTTATCATCGGTGGAGAAGAAATTTTAGCGATCGAGTGTGTTGATGTATCGAAAATCTTTTTATATTTAATTAACAATTGATGAATTTCGAATTTTTCATGTTGATCTTGAATGTGATCTAACAGTTGATCAAAAATAGCTTCTATTGAATCATGTTTAGCAACTTCGGGTTGTCGGTCATTTGACGACCGTTGATCATTATCTAAACATGAATTGATTGTATAACAACGAATATCTAAAGGTTGTACAGTAAAATAACCAATATTAGTATGAATAGGTATTCGGCATATTTTATTTGTCGGATTAGCGATTGTAATATATGTTTCATAATTTTGTATAGTTAATAAAGCATTCGGAATGGCAATAAGTTTTTGATATTGGATGTTACGATTAGGATGAAAGATAATCTTCGAAGAAGAAGAAATAGGTGATTTAAGTCGAACAATTGTTTCATGTTGTGGTTTTAATACTATGGTATTAGCTAACTTTAAGTTAAAATTATGTTTGTCCATATTATCGTCCATCGATATAATAGCTGATGATCTTGCTGTGTATATGATAATTAATTTACTTGATTGGCAAATATCGACTGCATACTTTCTCATCCAATCTTGACCTAATATACATGATGTTGATAAAGATTTTGATATAAATGCAGTAATTTTCGTTCTAATGTGTCCTATTTGAATATAAATTTCGACTTCTCCATCGATATCGACTGTGGTATTTCCATCTGCCAGTGTATACTTACCTTTGATTCGCTTAATTGGATTGTGTCTGATATGGGATAATGTTGATATATGAATAAATGTATTACTAGCTCCTGTATCTAAAAGACATTGTAATCGATTACCACTTACCGGAACTGTGATAAATGATAATGGTGATGGATTTATTATTGATTCAGAGGAACTACCATCCGGCACCTCTGTTATTAGTTTTTTGAATACTTTTGTTGTTGCTGATCGACTGATGAAGTGGCAGTCTGTTGTTGACAATATCGAGCAATATGACCAGGTTGACCACAATTATAACAATAAATGTTTGATTTTCCTGACGAATGATGTTGATGGTGTAAATATGAGTGTGGTTGACTGTACATGTGTTGCGATTGAGAGAACTGTGATATTGGATATTGTTGATTCTGATTAAATTCAGAGTGTTCATATGGTGAATATTGGTTTGATGTTGGTGAAAACGATTGTTGCGTTGGATATGGATAATCATTTTGTGTCGATGAAGAATAATATGTCGATTTTGTCGGATGATTGTTCGATTGTCGACTCGATAATTGATAAGAATGTACCTGTGATGATAATGATAATTTGTCGTCGCTCTTTGTTATGGTTGATACTTGGGCTGTTTGATTTTGTCGTAATTCGATCAACTTCTGAATATTTTCCAGTTGTTGTACCTTTATCAAAAAATCGAATGATGTTGAGTAAGTTTCTTTAATAGCTTCTTGGTATAATGACAATTTAAGTCCATTGGTTAATTTACGAATTTTTTGTTTGTCTGACATAAGTGGATCATATTTCTTACACAAATCGATGATATCATAATAATGTTTGATAACCGGTTCATTTATTTGCTGCTTTCGTTGGTCGAATTGTTGTTCAATTAAATATTCGTTCTTTTCAGCAAATTGTGTTATCAATGCCTGCTTGAATATTGACCAACTAAATATATAATGCTTTTGATCTGCCCACCACTTATACGCATATTCTTTCAAAAATGCTGGAGCATATTGGA